AAAGCTTCACCACCCTGAAGGGAGTGAGGCAGAGACAGCACAGCAGTGAGGGAGGCGCTGCCACTGATGGCAGCATCCCAGCTACTGATCACAGCAGTTTATACAGCAGCAACTCTCACCTTCCCCTCAAGGATCATTTGTTTCCGCTTATTTATCTCTTTCTTCTCATCAAAATCCATTCCCTCCAGTTCCTGTCAAAGCACAAATACAAGAGAGCAATCAGTAACCAAGCATCAAATCTGCCATGGAGCTGTACAGGGTGAGCAGCACCTTGCTGCTGTGCACACATCTGGCAGCCCCTGGAGCACCAGCCTCAACGCTCAGCAGCAAGAATGTGCAGTAACAGACCAAACATAGGGAAAATCACTAAAACAACCCCCCCAGGTGCTTCCACTAGAAAAAGGACCAGCAACTCTTAGTTATGTGCTCAAGAGCAAAGCTGCACGGCCAGAGCCACCCCTTAGGCTGGGATGAACCTCCCGGTTGCCCAAGCTCCCCAGTCCTCTGAACACAGGGGCTTCACGTTTGCACACTTACAATTTCACATTCCCTCCTGGTGACGTTCACTTGGGTGAGGATGTCGAGCACAAACTTCTCCTCCACAGAGAACTCCTGCAGCTTCAGCTCTGAATCAGGGTGAGACATTCACAGACCAGGCTTGGGTGCAAAATCCAGGAGCAGATTCTCAACTGGTCAAACCCCACTCAGTGATCAGAGGTGGGACTGTTGGCACACACTGTGATCACTGACTTCTTCAGCCTTACAACAAAGATCAAATCCTCCCCTCTGACTACAATTCCCCATAGCACAAGGTGCTGCATTTATTAGGTCTCATTCCTCAAAAACTATGAATTCTGAAGCTATGCAAAGCATGGGTCCTTTTTGTCCACATCTGCAGTCGCAGTAGCAAGGGAGTAAGGAAGAAGCTGGCTGCTTCAATAACAAGGTTACAGAGAGCCCAGCCACTGGTTTTCCTCCACTAGGAATAGCAGGAAGACAAACCCATTCATGCCTGATGCACTTGAGCAGAATCAAAGCTGATGCTTTGCTGATGCTCCTGCTCTTTTCCAAGCCTTAGCAACACAGGGAAGAGAAACCATTTTCACACTGATGCTCTGGATCGCTCTTCACAGATGAAATCAGCACTGCAAGCACCATGAGCACAAAGGAACACACACGATCCCACATTTTAGGAGTGTTAATGATGCTCTACTTACTGATTTCTTCCTCAATAGCATGCACAAGATGGATGTCATACTGTGTCACCAGTGTGATGGCCATTCCTTTCCGGCCTGCATGGTGAAAACACAGTGAGATGTGAATGTTGTTGAGCAGAGGGAGATGAAGCCTAACCCATGCCAAATTCCATTGCCCCCATGAGTCTGCCCTGCTGCAGTCTGCTCGTGGGGCACACAGAAGGGTCTCTGTTTGCTCTGCAGGCAGCACTGCAGCCTTAAGGCAGGATGCTGAGCCAGGGCTAGCAGCTCTGGCACTGCCTGACCAGACTGCACTGCTACTGCACTGCTGCCTCCCTGTCCCTGCTCCAGGCTCAGCCCAGCCCTGGGATCCCAGTTTCAGGCAGCAAAGGGCACTCAGCTTTCCCTGCTCACCCGCACGCGCTGTCCGGCCAACACGGTGAATGTAGATCTTGGGCAGGCCGGGAGTGTTGTGGTTGATGACAACCTGGACTGCAGGAATGTCCAAGCCTCTGCAGCACAGGGGAGGAGAACAGAAGTGGGGAAACGCTGCTTTAATACAAGCAGTTTGAATCCCTGTCCTCTGCTTTCTCCCCAGGCCCCATGGATGTCCTCTTCACTGGCTGGTTCTAGGACAAACTCCTCCTGCAGCTCTCCAACAATGACAGAGCACAGCATCACCTCCTAGCCCACTGCTCCCTCCTTGACCCAGAGATCACAGAAACCATTCTCCTGCTAGAACACAACCCCTCACTGCAGCAAAACAAGCCAGGATCAGAGCTCCACTGCACAAGTGGGCTCCAAAACACAGCTCTGAGACGTTCTACAACCCCATCCTACCCAAATGGGGGATTATAAAGCTCTCCACTTGCTAACCAGAGCCAAATCTCCACAGCAGTTCTGGCACTTCAAAAGCAGGCAACAGAGACTGTGGTTTTCCCTTACCTGGCAGCAACATCAGTGGCAATGAGAATCTTGAAGATGCTGGACTTGAACTTCGCTAAAGCTGCAAATCGCTGCCGCTGCCAAGAGAAAAGCCTGTATGGGGGACACTGTGACCCAGGAGGACTTGAACATCCCTCTCCCAGGTCTGTCCATCACCCACCTGTTTCATCATGGAATGCAGAGCTACAGAGGGGAAGTTGTATTTCCTGAGCATCATGTTCAGGACCTGGCAGTCCCTTGAAGGAAAAACCAGTAACTGAATCAGAATATCCCAGGGAAACGTGGAGCTGCTGGAGCAGGACAGAGCTGGGCTCCTTCAGAAGCCCTCACACAAGTAACCACCACAGCGCTGTGACAGAGGCAGGGCACAGGATCCCCACTCCACACCTGCTCACCCCAGCAGTGGGACTGGTTTCCCCTTGCACTCAGGGGAATGTCACCAGCTCCAGGGCTCCATCCCAGTCACCTGAACCACCCGAAGGAAGGGAGCAGCAGCACTGGGATGCAGACAGGGCTGTCTGCCCCATCCCTTTCCCATTATCCATCAGCAGGAGGAAAAGAAGATGCAGAGAGGTAAAGCAGCTTGACCTCCTGGAATGCTACTTGTTTTGGGTGGCCCTTCAGCCCCAAACTGCTCAAAGGAAAAGGTGTTTCTCTACCCAGCAGACTATGGAAGCAAACACCACCCCAGCCTAACACCCGACACAGCACAGGCTTGGAATCTCAAGCAGAAATGTCTGTGTTGAGTGCTCACAAGGAACAAGGCCACTCACTTGCAGGTTTTAGTAAAGATAATGATGGACCAGTCCTCGTGCTCGTCCTGGAAGGTCTGGACTAAGTGGACAAGATACGCATCCTTCACCGCCTCGGGTACCAGCAGGTACCGCTGGTCCAGCTCCTCCACTGTCCGCACCCTGGAGGGGAAGCACCAGCAGCATCGGTTGGGCAAGTGAAGCTGGACCATGAGGGACAGTGAGGAGACAAGAAACCAGAGAGGAAACAGGGCTCTGTGTAGCGAGGGTGAGCACTGACTCGGACACAGCCTCCCAGAAGAAGGGCCTGTTGGCAGCCAGGCTCTGGAGCTCCTTCAGCGTGTCGGTCAGCGTGGCACTGAACAGCAAGGTCTGTCTGCGCGCTGGGACAGCCTCCAGTATCACCTCCAGGTCCGCAGTGAAGTCAGCACAGCCCTGCTCCAGCAGCCGGTCAGCTTCATCCATAATCTAGGCAGAGCCAAAACCCCGAGCTCATGCACACGTACAGTGGAGAAGGGAAGAGGCTGAAAAGCACAAAAACCCAGCTGGAAAAGAACCTTACCAAGAACTTGAGCTTTTTAAGGCTGAAGGTGTTGGAGCTGCGGAGGTGATCTGCCAGCCTGCCGGGCGTCGCAATGACAACGTGGGGCTTGCGGGAGAGCTCCAGTGCTTGTGCCACCATGTCTGCAAGGAGACCCACAGAGGGGAGCGTGGAACATGCGCTCCTGCTTGGAGTATTGTGCGCAGTTCTGGTGTCCTCAACATAAAAAGGACATGGAACTGTTGGAACAAGTCCAGAGGAGGCCACGAGGATGAGCAGGGGCTGGAGCACCTCCCATATGAAGATTGGCTGAGAAAGTTGAGGCTGTTCAGCCTGGAGAAGAGAAGGCTGTGTGGAGACCTCATAGCAGCTTCCAGTATCTGAAGGGGGCCTATAGGGATGCTGGGGAGGGACTCTTCATTAGGGACTGTAGTGATAGGACAAGGGGTGATGGGTTCAAACTTAAACAGGGGAAGTTTAGATTGGATATAAGGAGGAAATTCTTTACTGTGAGGGTGGTGAGGCACTGGAATGGGTTGTCCATGGAGGTTTTGAATGCTCCATCCCTGGCAGTGTTCAAGGCCAGGTTGGACAGAGCCTTGGGTGCCATGGTTTAGTTTGAGGTGTCCCTGCCCATGGCAGGGGGATTGGAACTGGATGATCTTAAGGTCCTTTCCAACCCAAACCATTTTGTGCTTCCCTCTGTGAAGCTGGAAAACTTCACCCTCCTCATCCCCCCCGCCTCCACTGCCCTGGGTGCTGGATCGCAGCTCCTCAGCACGTGTGGAAGGAGAAGCTCCGCAGGACTCTGCTCGTTAACGACCTGCCCACGGAGGGGCCAGAGGGACAGGGCAGTGGCTCCGCCCCGCGCAGCAGCACTCACCCAGGCCGCCCACCACCACGCAGTCCTTCAGGCCGAGGGGCTTCCCCAGGACGCGGAACTGCTCGGCGATCTGGTACGCCAGTTCCCTGCCGGGGAGGAGCGCCGTGAGACGCGGCCTGGCCGGGGCCGGGTACCGCGGGGGCTGGGTCCCTGGAGCACGTACCTGGTGGGGGTCAGCACGAGGCAGAAGATGCCGTAGGGGTCCTCGGAGAGCGCCTGCAGCACGGGCAGCACGAAGGCCGCCGTCTTCCCGCTGCCGGTCTTGGCGCAGCCCAGGCAGTCGCGGCCTGCGGGGAGGGAGGGAGGGAAGGAAGGAGCCGGTGAGGGGGCGGCGCTGGCGGCGGGGGGCGCGGGTCCGGGGGGCTCCGGGCTCACCCTGCAGCGCGGGCGGGATGCAGGCGGCCTGCACCGGCGTGGGCCGCACCAGCCCCACCTGCCGGGCCTGCTCCGCCAGCCACGGCGCCAGGCCCAGCGCACGGAACTCCGCCATGACACCGCCGCCACCGGCGCTCTGTCACTACGTCAGCGCGCACGCCCGCTGCTCATTGGCTGCTCATCCCACCCAGCCGCTTCCGGCGCTCTGGTGACGTTAAAACCTCCTGAAATGTCTATTGGCTGGCGCGGGGATTGCCATGGAGACCGCGGCTCCCGGCAGCCTCCGCGGCGCAGCTGCTTCCGGAGACGTGTCTGAGGGGGCAATGGCGGCCGCGGGCTCCGCCGGGCAGGGCGGGGATGGGGACGAGCTCTTCGACGTGAAGAACAGCTTCTACATCGGGGCCTACCAGGCCGCCATCAATGAGGCGCAGCGCGTCAAGGTACGTGTGAGGCGGGGCCGTGCCTGTCCCCGGCCCGGCCGCCCTGGCGGGTGAAGGCGCCGACGTGAGGCTCCTCGAGGGCCTTTCGTCCCTGGCTGTGTTCGGTGTGTGTGGATGAGGGTGTCTCCTGTGGGGTCGGGTTATGGCTGTGCAGGTCCCTGAGAGCATTTCTTGTTTGCTGTCGTTCCTTCAGCCGTCCAACCCAGAGAAGGAAGTGGAGAGGGACGTGTTCTTGTTCCGAGCCTACATTGCCCAGGTGAGGCTGTGAGTGCTGCGTTTGCCTCGGGATAACCTGGCTGGAGCGTGTGAACCCGAGTTCAGCCTTGCCCAATTCGGGAGCAGTTCTTCCTTGAGCACTGGAAATAACACATTCCCTGGCACTGGTACAGCTGTGACTGCAGTGCAGTGCGGGCGGGCTCAGCATGAGCCCGTGGGGCCTCTTTGGGTGGTCAGGCCTATGGAGTTTGGCTGTGTTTGTAGAGCCTGATGTGAGCTGTAAAGCAGAAATTGGCTATTCGGGTTGTTCTCACTGAGGTTTAAGGTTAACAGGTGTGCCCTGTGCTCTCAGAGTCACAGCTTTATCTTTGTTGCCTTTCACAGAGGAAATACGGCGTTGTCCTGGATGAAATTAAAGCCAATGCTAGTCCTGAGCTCCAGGCAGTGAGGATGTTTGCAGAGTATCTTTCAAATGAGAGTCAGAGGTAAGACTGATAAGAAGCTGGACCTTGAGCGCTGTCCTATGAGGAATCTGCTTCCATGTGGAAAGCTTCTTGTAGCAGTGTGGTCTTTATTGGGGTTTTTAGGAGGTTTTCCAGTCAGTCTCAAGCTCGGAGTTGTCAGGGTGCTTAGTGATCACCCTTGCTCTTCACAGGGATGCAATTGTTGCTGATTTGGACAAGAAAATGGCCAAAAGCGTTGATGTGGCCAATACCACCTTCTTGCTGATGGCTGCTTCCATCTATTTCCATGACAAGAACCCGGACGCGGCTCTGCGCACTCTGCACCAAGGGGAGAGCCTGGAGTGGTAGGTGGAACTCAGCCGGCATCACGGAGCCTCTCGAGGCTTGGGAGAGGTGCCCCATGAATGGCTGAGGTCTGGTTTCTCTAAAAAGCCTTGAAACCATTGAGAAGCTCCTTTGAGGTTTGCCTTTTGGAGTAGGAAGTGTTTTGGTGCTTGTCTTCCCATATCAAGTCTATTGCTCCCTTGTGCAACTTAAGAACCTGCTTTATTGATTTAAGGGTGTTCAGAATTGCTGAGCTGAGCACTGTGTCAGTGCAGCGAGGGAGCATGGAGCCAGCTGCCCTGCGCCAGGCCCTGCTCCCAGAGCTAGTGCTCCACAGCAGGGAGGTTTGGCCCAGGGCACTGGGAGAGGTAAAGCCTGCAGTTGTGAAAATCACTTTGCTCTTATTCCTTGCAGCATGGCCATGATGATACAGATTCTTCTGAAGCTTGACAGGCTTGATCTGGCTCGGTAAGTTTGTGTCTGATTGCTTCTTAATGGTGCTGGGGTGGGCTGTGATAAGAGAATCTTCAGCACCCAGCCTCCCCCAGGGCACAGCATTTGAACCCCTGCCATGGGGAGAACAGTTTGTGTGTAGATGTGGATGTGCTGCAAAAGAGGTAATAGAGCTGGATACAGCTGAAGGAAGAGATGAACCCCCAGGTTTTATCCTCCCTTCAGCAGAATGTGGTTTGAATCTCAAGTCCTGGGTTTCTGGCTTCCCATAAGGAAGTAAAAAGGGAAGTCTTTCATGGATTGCTTCAGTGAAATACTAAGAGGTGTTTGTGGCATTATATGGAAGAGCTGAGAGAAGAAAGCACAGCCTTTTTTTACCTTGTGTGACTCCCACTTCTCCTTCTGCAGCAAGGAACTTAAAAAGATGCAGGAGCAAGATGAGGATGCAACCCTGACTCAGCTGGCAACTGCCTGGGTGAACCTGGCCATTGTGAGTGTCTGAAATGGGGATTCTTAGCCTTCAACATGGAGAAACATCACTCCACAGCTTGCTCTTGCTTGCTGTTCGCACATCATGCTTTCAGGAGAGCATGCAGGGGGGTTGCTGGGCTGGCTGGTTGTTTTCCCCTTCCTTCAAGCACAGAGAATACTGACAGCTGGCTTCACAAACTGCCTGGGTTGATTGCCAGTCTTTCATCTGTGCTCCTTGGCCTTCAGCTCACACAGGGAGGGGCTAAACCACACTTAAATAATTCACAAAGCGTTATAATATAGAACGGCAAGTGCAGCAGTACCAGCATCCAGACCTTGCAATTAAATTCCAAGAAAGAAGTGTTATTCTTTGCTTAGAGCAGACTGTCTTTAAGGGTGTTTGTGAATCAGACAAAGCCAAACACAGCCCAGATCATCGAGTGATTGGAAAGTAGTCTCCTCAAGTTCAGTGAAGTCCAAGGTTAAGCAGGACACAACCTGCTGTACCGTTCAGATTTCTTCCTAGTGTTCACTTGGCTTTGTTAGGAAATCTGTCATGCTGAACCCCTGCCTTGCCATAATGCACAGCTGATTTTCCTTAAGGTCTTAGTTTCCTCAAGTGATCCCACCTCTGACTGGTGGACACCTCTGCCTGTAGGACCTGTCTGGAGCTTTTTTGGAAAGCCAGGTATCCACAGCTGTGTTTAATTATAAAAATCTCATTCATAATCTAATCCCATGAATCCATCCAACACCTGAAGTGCTTCTTCTGAAGGGGTTGGCTTTTTCTGTTTGAATGGAAGCTTGGATCTTTTAATCCTTTAAATAGTTGTTAATATTCCATATTTTTGCATTTCTTTAATCTGTGTTCTGCAGTGATGTGTTGTGGTACCACCTGAATGCCAGCTGCTGCCAGCATTGGTTCTGACACACTCCATGCCTGTGCTTTATAACCCTAGGAATGAACTTGGTGCTGGTCCTTCAGCCATGGCTAGAGCGTACAGGCTTCTTAGCAACATGGAGTGAAACTGTGGGTGTTTGTTTCCTCCCTTCACAGGGTGGTGAGAAGTTACAAGATGCTTATTACATCTTCCAAGAGATGGCAGACAAATGCTCCTCCACCCTCCTGCTGCTTAACGGGCAAGCAGCCTGCTACATGGCCCAGGGCAAGTGGGACGATGCAGAAGGAGTGCTTCAGGAGGCACTGGACAAGGTACTTCTGGTTTTGCCAGGTAGATTTGCTCTCTGGGAGACACAGAGTAAAGCAGCATGACCTTCACTGTTAAACTTCATGAACATTGCAACACATTGATAGATATGGCTATGGTGGTTGCTCTTGATTGCTTCTAATCTGCCTTTTCCAGTCAAGTGAGCTGTAGGTTGGGCACAACTGGTTCTTGCAGAACTCTGCTGGTTGGTACCGTTTGTTGCTGTGAATCAGATGGTTGCTCTTGTTTGCAGGACAGTGGCCATCCTGAGACCCTGATCAACTTCGTGGTCCTGTCACAGCACTTGGGCAAACCCCCAGAGGTGAGGCCTGTTTTACTGTACTCACCAAGCAGATACAGTCGACCTGCTCATGCTGCTGTGGGCAGGGTCTGTGCTCTGAGGGCTTGTAACTTTGCTTGGGCTTGCAGCTCTCATCAGGATCAGCATTAACAAAGCAGAACAGTTCTGGAGTGTGGGGAGCTCCCATCTTCCATAAAGTGTTTGTGGAAATACAGATGCTGCAAACAGAGGGGTGGACTTGAGAGGAAGACCTGGGTGGAAAAGAAATGGCTTGAATTCCGAGTTCAGTCCTCACTGACTATTCTCTTGAGCCCACCATTTAAGGTCTAATTTTTAAGCACAGGGTATGCCCAGTTCTTACTGGTTTTAACTGGGGCTGCTTATGTTTGGGACACTGAGAAAATCGGGTAAATAACCACATTGAAATGTGATGTTTGAAACTCTTTGCTTCTCCTCCTGTTAATACTGAAACTTCTCTCATCCCATCAGGTTACGAATCGCTATTTGTCACAGCTGAAAGATGCACATAAGAATCATCCATTCATAAAGGAGTATCAGGCAAAGGTACAAGGTTCCTCTCTAATACAAAATGGAATTTATCACGCCTCATACCAGTCTCTGATGGGGCAAGTGGATTCTTTACCAGCAAACCTGACTGCAGGGGGAGGGTCACTGCTGTTTCTCTGGCACATCACTTATCACAGTGAATTTCCTAGCCCTTGTAGAAGATATTGGGAGCCACAAGCCAGATGTTAAACAGAGGAGCCAAATGGTCATATCTTGAAAGAATGACATGTGGGTTCTTAATCTTGTTACGTGAGATTTTGTGCTTAAATAGAGGAAACATCCTTCTGGGCAGGGAGAAAGAGGGATTAAGGGAAAATGGAACAAAATGAAAACAATTGATAACTGAGACAGGTAATCTTGCTGCTTAGAATTCCTGTTGCCTTAGTGAGCTGTGCTGGTGGTGTTCTCTTCAGCCCCTCCAGTAAAGTTCAAGGTTTATTCATTCTGTTCCTGTTTCTGGTTTGAAGGAGAACGACTTTGACCGGTTGGCTGTGCAGTACGCCCCCAGCGCCTGAGGAGAGGGAAAGGAGGCTGCAGACCTGCTCTCTGGTACCTTGGGAACTGGGGTTGATGTGCAAAAAACTCCGTGGTAACACAGAAAAACGCTCTCTGCAAGTTGTCTGCCTTCTCTCCCCGTGGGGAGGGTCTCGCAGTCCAGTGAGATGCTGTTAAAGCTGCATAGAACACGTAGCTACTTGAATTTGGTAGCTGCAAAGCCTGTGCTCTGGCTTACCTGAGTCCTGAACTCTGTTTAAACTACAGTGAGAATCAGGAGTGTGCCACGCTGTACCTTAAACATTCCTAATAAAGCCTTTTCTGGGTCCTTAATTTCTGGAATTCAAGTAATTCCACCCTAGGACCGAGCCCTGTCATCTGGACTGATGTGGGAAGAGTATGAAGGTTAATTTTAAACACCTGCATTCAGTACATGGATGAATCCTGAATTATGGATCTTCCAGGCTGACTGATGACTCCTCCTTTAACATTTCCACTGGAAGAAGCACACTCTGCTGCTGGGGTTACTGCTGGTGAGAGAGAAACCTTCCCCAGAATAACGCTAATCCCATTGTAATAGGCTCAGCCTTAATCTTACATTGGTAAAATGCAGCAGCTCGTCTGTGGAGCCAGGGAAGTACCTCCTGTGGTACACATGGAGGTCACTGCTCACTTCTGCAGGTGTGGTGGCTGTGGAACATAACGTGACTGTGTGTGTGCTGTGGCTCCTGCCTGCTGTTCACAGGACAGTGCTGCTGTAGCCACCATGCAGAGCCCAGAGTCTGAGCAGAACCCTCGGTTGGGACCTCCTGACCTCTGATGTTTGAATTATCTTCTGAATTACCATTTGGGTTGCCTCTGTGGAGGGGGAGAAGAGGGGTTTGTGCTACACTCTGAATGTGGCTGATGACGTTTCCTTTGTGCCCACCTCGCCTGCTTGCTCTGAAAGGGCTCATTGTCTCTCCTTGGGGGTTTAGCCAGCAGCTATTTTCACTGAGGGGTTATTCCTGCTCCGGGCCTGGATGAATGTTTCCTTTGTAGAGCTGTCTGAGGGAGCTGTGAAAGGGGCTTCTGTGTCCGGGGCAGCCATTATCCACTTGATGGGCCATGATAAATTGACTTAAAAACATAAACAATAAAAGCAAGGGGCAGCAGGAGCCAGCGCTGTCCCTGGCAGGAGGGGAACAGGGTGTTTGGGCCCCTGAGAGGAACGAGTTGGTATTTTCTCACTGCTGCCCAATGTGAGAGGTTCCAGGGAACTCAAGGGCACAATGGCTGTGATCAGAGGAATGGCTTTCAGTGAGATGAAGCTCATTTCTGTTTTGTCTTTCTCTCTCCCTATCAAGCTGGTTCATGTCACAGTTCATGGGGGCCTGTGCTGCTGCTGGTTATTCTCCATCTCTTGTAGTACAGATCCCCCAGCTGCAATTTAGCTGATGGTTCTGGGGCAGATGGACACAGCTGAACTCCATTCAGCCCTCCACAGCTGGAACCAAACCCTGCTGAGCTGCTTCAGCTCCTGTTGTGCCCTGCCAGGAGCCAATTCAAGTGTTGGTATTTTAGGAGACTCTTCATCTTAAACTCGGGTTTCTTCCAGTGAGCCCAGTGTTGGGCTCTCTGTGTGGCTGGATGATCACTTTGAACACATCCACAGTAAGATTCCCCTTTGAAGCATCAGTGGGCTGGGGTGGAAGCTGCCTGCCTGCTGCAGGAGGCACTGGAGGAAGTCTTCAGGTGGGGGACCGCTTGGGAGGGGGTGTTTGCAGCTTTCAGGTGCATCTCATGGCTGCAGCAAGTGCCCAAGTGGAGCTGTTGTAGGGGTGGGAACTCCCAGTTGCTGGTGAGGAAGGGACGAATCTGCTGCTGGTTGCAGGCTTTTACAGAGAGGTAGGGGAAAAAGAGAGCTGCAGAAACGGTTCTCTTTGCATCTCGTTTAAGGGTGAAGATTTAGTCGGGGGGTTGGTTACTGGGGACTGCAGGAGCTCTGTGTTGTGCACTGCGGGGCACTTCCAGCCCCTGTGGCTGCCCGAAGGGAGCCCCTTGGCAGCAGAGCTGCTTCCCCGGGTCTGTCATCAGCTGTCATCTCTCCGCACTGAACTATTGGTGTTTGTCTCGGGTTCTTGCTGCTGCTGGAGCCACTCCAGCCTCGCGTCACGGCCCCGTCCTGCAGCGATGCGGCGGGGGAGGCAGTGGAACTTCATTCAGCCATTCCGCGCTCATTAACGGGCTCTAATGAGCCGCTGCCCCGCCCCGTGCTCATTACCGGGCCGGGCCGTTAATGCGCCCGAAGGGGCGGCTCTTAGCGCCCGGTAACGGCCCCGTCCCGCCCCGCGGAGCGTGCGCGGAGCCGGCGGGCAGCGCGGCGGCGGGAGCGCCATGCGGGCCCCCGAGCCCATGCCCGGGTACGGGCTCCTGCTGCGGCGGGGGTACCGCAGCCTGGCGGCGGCCGCGCGGGGCTGCACCGACTGCGGCTGGGAGCTGTCGGTGCGGACCTGGGCCGAGAGCGCGCAGCTGGGCTGGGGCGAGCTGCTTCTGTGCGCGCTCGGAGCGCTGGGCTGGACCGCGCTGCGCCGCGCCGCCGCACGGAGCCTCTTTCGGGTCAGTCCTGGGCAGCGGGGGTGCGGGATGGGGTCTGTGTCTATCTGTGTCTGCGAGTGATGCTCCCCCTTCCTCCGCGGCCGCATCCCGCTGCGGAGCCTCACCCCCCGCTTTCAGTGCCCCTAGTGCCGAGCTCCGGGGCTGCCGCTGCCTCCCCTCCGTGTTCTGCGCCTCGTCCGTGGGCTGCAGGGAACATGTCCGGCCCCGGTGCGGCGGTGACGAGCGCGGCGAGGGGCTGGAGGGATGCGCTGCAGCGCCGGGCTGGGCTTCCTGCGAGCGCGGGGGAGCCCCGGTGGGAGCCCCCGCACGGCTCCGCTGGCCCGGGTCCCCTCCGTGCCACCGCGGGGCTGTGTGAGGGGCAGGGGGTGCAGGATGTGCCCCCGAGCGGGGAAGGGCTCTGTTTAATTTCGCTCCGTGAAAAGCGTGTGTCATGAGCAGAGACCTCCCCTCTCTGATGGCTCAGTCCCAGCTGAGCCGATCTCCTCTATGCTGCTTTCCTGGAGAGATGTTGGCTGCTTTGCTCCACGGTTATCCTGGCCCTGGTAGGACTCGAGGGGCAGAAGCAGGGGAGATGCAGTGTTTTGGGTCAGGGGATTGCTGCTGGGGACGCAGGGACAACCCTTCTCTCACCCATCCATGACGATGGTGGCCCGAGGCCTTGGGCATGGAATCATAGAATCAGCCAGGCTGGAAAAGACCTTTAAGATCATGAGGTCCAACCATTACCCCAGGACTGCAAAGGCCACCAGTGGGCTCCGAGGGCCTCGTCTGCATGCATCCAACGTGATTCCCTGTGGCTCTATGGGGCAGGCCCTGTCCCCTGGGTGAACCGCTTCCCTGGAGGTGATTTCCTGTGTGCTCCAGTTGCTCCCTGTGCCGGGCTCACCTTTACAGAGCGTGATCAGAGAAGGGAAAGAGAAGCCCTTGGTGGTGTGGAGCCCGCTCAGTGCTCCCCGAGGGCACTTGGCAGCGTGTCCCAGTGCTGAGCTGTCGTTCCCTCGGAGAAATGGGTCACTTGTAACTGCAGAAGGGGGGAGGATTTGAGCTGGTTTCTTGTGGCTTCATCAGCATCTGCCTGTGTCACAGGGATGTGCTGCGGAGGGAACTGCCACCACATGGGTTTTCTCCCAGCAGGTAGGTGGCTGCGGAGCAGCAGGGAGGGATGAGGCCCTCCATATATGTGTGTGTGTATAGAGTCATAGAATAGTTAGGGTTGGAAAGGACCTTAAGATCATCCAGTTCCAACCCCTGCCATAGACAGGGACCCCTTCCACTGGAGCAGCTTGCTCCAAGCCCCTGTGTCCAACCTGGCCTTGAGCACTGCCAGGGATGGGGCAGCCACAGCTTCTCTGGGCACCCTGTGCCAGCGCCTCAGCACCCTCACAGGGAAGAGCTTCTGCCTCAGAGCTCAGCTCAGTCTCCCCTCGGGCAGGTTCAAGCCATTCCCCTTGGCCTGTCCCTACAGGCCCTTGTCCCAAGCCCCTCTCCAGGTTTCCTGCAGCCCCTTTAGGCACTGGAGCTGCTCTAAGGTCTCCCCTTCAGGAGCCTTCTCTTCTCCAGGCTGCCCCAGCCTGGCTGCAGAGCAGAGCTGCTCCAGCCCTTGAACTCACTCGAGCAGTTCCACAGCCCTCTTGTGTTGGGGGCCGCAGTTGTGTTGTATTTATTACATGGTCCCTGTATGGCAGCAGTAGAACGGGGTCATTCCGGAGGAAAGTCAGGGAGAAGAAAGATCAGTTTAACCCAGGAGGAGACCTCTCCCCTGCACAGGGCATCCCTTCCCAGTGCAGGCTTGGAGAGCATCTGTCCTCCCCTTGAACCTCTTCATGTTCCCTGCCAGAACTGAAACCCTCCCGGTTACCAAAGTGCCCTCAGAGCGTGGAGCTGCCTTCCTGCACGTCAGCTATAAATAATGAACCTCACCGTGGGGACTCTCGTTCCCTGCATCCGAGGAGGAAGTGACTCTCACCACAAGCCCTTGATGCTCTGCACTTAAACTGCACCTTACTTAGCTTTGGCCATGACCACTCTGCTGAGAAACGAGTGTGTTAAAGCCACGTTCCTCTTCCTGTGCTGTCTGCGTGGCCCCATTCAGTGGGATCGAGAGGGGAGGTGGGCTCCTTGCTCTCTTCTGGCATCATAGCAGCATTGAGCCTGCACCATCTTTGTCACAGGAGGTCTCCCAGTTGGGTTGGAGTGGCAGAGGTTGTGCCTGAGGGAGGCTTTGCTATGGATTTGGAAGTGTGGGCTGGTTGCACAGCTGGGGCCCGTGGAAGAGGTGGTTTCCCCACCATCCTTAGAGCAAAGATGGGTTTTGGCCTGTTGTCTCTGAACACCGCTGTCCTTGGGGTGACCCTGTGTGCAAAGAGCTGCTGCAGGCTCTGGGGAGCCTGATTAGAAAGCAGCAACCTGAGCATCTCTGTTAATGAAAGCCCCTGGAGGCAGCTGAGCCTGGCAGTGCCGAAGCCGAGCGCCGCTGGAATGGGACCAGGCAGCTCCAACTGGGAACGGCTTGGTGAAGCACCGGGAGCTCAGTGTGCTGTGCCGGCAGCCGGCCCTCCCAGGCAGGTCCTGAGGGCTGCAGTGGACTCGAACCCAGGTCTGCTCTTGGTTTTCATGCACAAAGGTGACCCGGAATAGCTGTGGCAAGGCTGGGCACACGCTTAGCCCTGAACTCCCCTGAGTTATCTTTGCTGCTCGAAGCTGAAGTCCCCAGGATCCATCAGTGAGAAAGAATCCACTCTATAAAATGTTATTGGGGGGCTTTGGGCAAGGGGAATGGCTTGAACCTGCCTGAGGGGAGACTGAGCTGAGCTCTTAGGCAGAAGCTCTTCCCTGTGAGGGTGCTGAGGCGCTGGCACAGGGTGCCCAGAGAAGCTGTGGCTGCCCCATCCCTGGCAGTGCTCAAGGCCAGGTTGGACACAGGGGCTTGGAGCAAGCTGCTCCAGTGAAAGGGGTCCCTGCCCTGGGAGGGGTTGGAACTGGAGGAGCTTTAAGCTCCCTTCAACACAAACCAGGCTGGGATTCCATAAACAGCACCCTCTGAACCTGGTGGTGTTGGTCAGGCATCACCTCCATCCTTACCGGCCCTCTGCCTTTGCTCTGCAGTGGGTAAATGTTCCCCAGTTTGGGGCACACACCAGCGAGCCTGCTGTCTTAGTGGGGCCAAGATCTGTAGGACATTGCAGTGTCCTCTGCAAGGAAAAGTGTTGTGTAAATGAAAAACTATGCTCTGGAAAGCAGGGTTTCCATGCGAGCGATACAGCGCTGCCTGGGAAAGGAAGTGCAAGCTGGAAAGACACAGTCCCCATTACCCCTGTCAGGGCTTTATGCAACTTCCCTCCACCCTACAGGATTGTCCAGGCTGGTTCTTCCAAGCCCCCACACTGGGTGTGTGCCTTGAGGGGGGGAATTATCACTGCCCTCACCCTGGCCACCCTGCACTGCTCTGCTCCGAGCAAAGGACCCTATGGAGCTGGGTGCTGCTGCCCTGGCGCATCCCGCTGTGCTCTGCCTGTTGGGAGCACAACCCCTGGACACCGAGGGGGGGAACCCACAACAATGGGTCCTTTCTTCACGCCGTGGGGTGAAGCTGCTGGGAGCGGGGGCTGCGCTCCCTGTGTCAGCAGTGGGGCATGAGGGGGTTCGTCAGCCCCCCAGCACCGTGTGGGCGCAGTGTCTTGTGTTCAGAGCGTGTCTGCTGCGGCTTTGCCCTCTCTCGGGGGCAAATGGCCCTGCTTGCAAGGACTGACATCTGCTGCCTTGCTGCTGCTGTCACAGCACCTCCTGCTTCGTGTCTAATGCAGCTTCCTGGTGGCTTCGCCACTGTGCGGGCAGGGAAGCTGAGGCACCGAGTGCCTCGCTGCATGGTGCTGCAGCAATCCCTGCTGTGCTCAGTGCATTCCCCTTTCACACTGGGCTTGGGGCTGCAGGCTCCAGGAGACTGATTTAACACAGAACCCCAGCCTGGTTTGGGTTGAAGGGACCCTAAAGCTCACCCAGTCCCAGCCACTGCCATAGGGACCCCTTCCACTGGAGCAGCTTGCTCCAAGCCCCTGTGTCCAACCTGGCCTTGAGCACTGCCAGGGATGGGGCAGCCACAGCTTCTCTGGGCACCCTGTGCCAGCGCCTCAGCACCCTCACAGGGAAGAGCTTCTGCCTCAGAGCTCAGCTCAGTCTCCCCTCGGGCAGGTTCAAGCCATTCCCCTTGGCCTGTCCCTACAGGCCCTTGTCCCAAGCCTCTCTCCAGGTTTCCTATAGGCACGGATTTTCTTGCTCTACAGTGATGTCTTCCTGCCTCTTCCCTTCTGTAGGCCCTGTGCCCCATCCCTGTGTGCCAGGGGTGGCAGCCAGTGCAGGCTGGGTATGGAGGGGACAGAGCCCGTTGGGGTGCAACAGCACCATTGCAGCTTGGAGCAGCCCCAGGCCGTGCTGCGGGGAGCTGAGCCGCTGCCCTGGAAGGGGCAGGAGCTGTTGGTTGCGGCCAGGGTTTGAATTGGAGCTCTGCTTGCTCATCATTATCATCCGCATTGGGTAACAGCTGATGTCAAGCTGCCAGTTCCCTGCTGAGGCTGCTCCGTGCCAGCCCTTCCTTTGTGCTCCTCCGGGGAACGCGTTGTGCCCAGGAGCCGGACGCAGCTCGGCTGGGACTTGGCCGGGGGGGACGGTGCCTCTGTGGCAAGGCTCGGTCCATAACCCATCCCTGCCGGGCTGCTGCAGGCGCTCGTGTCCTGCTGCTGTGCTGGGTGTCGATGTGCGGGGACCGGCTGCTTCCCTCTGGGGCTGCAGGCTGTGAAAAGGGAGAGGAAAGGAGTTCGCTGCAAGGAGCTGTTCTTTTTCTGACGCTCAGCAGAGCTGTGGGCAGCGACAGCTCCCATTTGGTTTCTCTTTGCAGCTCCAAACTGCTCCCGGTGTGCTCTCACCCACTGCTTTCCTCCCCCTGCATGGTGATGCCGTGGGGGCGATTGTGCAGGTGAATCAGAAGCTGCTGTGAAGGTTTGCGTGGGGGTGATGAGGAGGAGGAGGAGGGAGGAAGAGCGGGCTGCCCTTCAAGCAAAGCCCTGCACATCGCTTGCCAAGAGCCTTGGGCTCTTTCAGCCGGAGCCAGATCCGGTGCTCCCGCCGCAGCGCCCGTCACCCCTAGCAACAGGCATCGCTGCGCCGTTGCCATGGGAACAGCAGCAGGGTGATGGGAGGACATCTCCCACCTTGCCCATCTCCCACCTCCTGCATGGCGTGGGCTGGTCTGGGCCTCTCCTTGGCTTGAGCTTCCCTGTGCAAGTGGTCCAGGTTTGGGGGGGGCTCACCAGGGACATTGCTTTGTGCCCCCAACCCTGGGTGATGCTGGTTCTCTTCAGTTCCTTCTCTGTGTCTGCTCTAGATCTAAGTCCCATTTCCACAGTGCTCAGGGCACAGCCTCAGATGCCCTGTGCCTGTTGAAGGGAGGAAGAGGAGGGTCTCCCCAGGGCCTGTCATTAACCATCAGGGTTAAAGCCTCTCTTGAGCATCAGCCATCACAAGCTGGAGCAGGATCACCCTTCCCTAGGTTTTTGCTCCAGCCTGGGAGCTGCTGCCATGCCTGCAGTGGGTGGGTGATGATCCTTGTCTCTGCCCACCCAGGCTGGGAACAAGAGGTGTTCTTCCCCCTTTGCAGGTGAGGAGATGAGGTGCAGAGAAGCAGGGCCATGACTTGGCTGGTGATGGGCAGCAAAGCTGCAACAGGGATTTGAGGCTGAGCTCAGCATCCTAAACTGAGCGCAGCTGAGGAGGGCAGGGGCTCTGCAGCTTGCTGTGTAGCATGGGGAGCTGTCCCCATCCCTGAGCTGCTCCTGTGCTCCCCTGTATGGACACACAAATAATTCATGCTTTCTGGCTCTGCATTATTCATCCCCCCTTCAAGCTTCCTCCTCTTTTTCCTCCTGTGGCTCCTGTTGGAAGAAGCCTTGGCGGCAGTGTGCTCCTGCTCCCAGGGAGGATGGCCATGCTGTGAATGGGAGGTGCATGTGGGGGGCCAGGGCTGGAGGGGATGACTTGGCAGAGCTTTGTGGGGCCGGTGCTTCCAGGGCTGGGAAATCCAGAGCTTAGTACAAAGCACTCAGAGGCTGGGATCATGCTTGGAGTGAAGGCCTTTGAAACCCTGATGTGGAGAGGGGCTGAAAGCCAGAGCAGCCGCTGCCTAGGGACAGCTGGGGCCTTAATATAGCCTTTGAGCTTCCAGGAGCTGGGGAGTGCTGAGCTGGGGCAGGGCACAGAGGGTTTGCAGGCATGTCGCTGTCATCTGGAGCGGGTCTGCTCTCTCTCTGGGGCGTTATCTGCATTTCAGGCAGCGCTGGTTCCCTCTGGACCCCCGGCTCTGTCGCTCGTGTGATGAGAAGCAGGAATGGTGCCTGGTGTTGCTCAGCCGCCACGGGGGGCCCGGAGCCGAGGGCAGGCTCCAGCATCGCTCACTGCTGGAGGATGGAGCTGCTCCAGGTCACCCCTATGGAGCTGAGGCTCCTTGGTGCAGGGGCTTTGCTTTTGCTCTCATTCCCAAGCTGTCCCTGGCCTGGTGGCCCCGCTCTGCTGCAGGCAGCCCAGTGGAGCACAGGGTGAGGAGCTCTGGTTCCGGTGAGCAGAGCAGGCGGGCGCTGCGCGTCCTCCCAGCCCGTGCTGGGCCCCTCTTTGGGAAGAGTTCCTCCTGTTCCCAGCCCTAATGGGTGGGAGCGGAGCTGCCAAGCACCAGCGTTTAATGGAGTCCCAGAAGGGGTTGGGTTGAAGGGACCTTAAAGCTCCTCCAGCTCCAACCCCTGCCATGGGGACCCCTTCCACTGGAGCAGCTTGCTCCAAGTCCCTGTGTCCAACCTGGCCTTGAGCACTGCCAGGGATGGGGCAGCCACAGCTTCTCTGGGCACCCTGTGCCAGCGCCTCAGCACCCTCACAGGGAAGAGCTTCTGCCTAAGAGCTCAGCTCAGTCTCCCCTCAGGCAGGTTCAAGCCATTCCCCTTGGCCTGTCCCTACAGCTCAAAAAGCTGCTTGGGAACATGAGTGACACAAGGGGTCCTGGTGCCCCAGCCTGCTCTGACCCCATCACCTGCGAAGCTGCCCCCTCCACCGCTGCCTGCCCGTGCTGGGGAGCAGTGTGTGATGTGCGAGGGCTCTGCAAAGCCTTTCCTTTATCAGCACGGCTCTGCTCTGGGCAGTGATGGGTTCCTCCTCTGGGTCTCCTTGGGCTGGGTTTTGATGTTCAGAGTTACTGTGCTCTGCAGAGCCAGCCCTGGCCAGCCAAGGGCATGGAGCTGAGCATGGGCCATGGGACACAGGCTCCTGCCCTCCCTGCAAGGCTTTGCTTCCCCTCAGAAGGATCTTCAGCCTCTGTCCAGAGCCTCTTTGACCTCCTTGTTCCTGCCTCTTTGCCCTGTGTGAGGATGCTCTCTCCTCTCCTCGCAGCCCTTTGGGGAGTGGTGCAACTTGCGGCCCAAAGATGCTGCCAAGATGCCAGAGAGTGCCTGGAAGCTGCTTTTCTACACGATCTCCTGGTCATATGGCATCTACCTGCTCTTCTTCACTGAGTACCCCTTCTTCTATGACCCACCATCTGTCTTTTATGGTACAGTAAGAGCCTGGGAGAAGTGGGGATGGATTAAGATGTCCAGGTTCATAGGATGTATGGGTTGACCGAGGGAGTGGGAGTCGGGGTGAGCAAAAGAGAAGACCAACCCCCTAAATTACCTTTCCTATGATGCTGTGGGTATCATAGAAAGGGCACCGGCTCTGTTCATTTCGTTAGAGAGAGAGTCACCTAGTGGCTATGGCAGGGGCTGGGATGTGTCAGGGGAAGGGGATCGAGTAGCTAAAGCAGATCATTGAATCCCAGACTGATTTGGGTTGGAAGGGACCTCAAAGCTCATCCAATTCCCACCCCTGCCAGGGGCAGGGACACCTTCCACAGGCCTCCTTCAGCCTGGCCTTGAGCTTCTCCAGGGCTTCTCTTTTAGATCTAGGATTGAGAGTGTGTCTAATGCCAAAGCAGTGTTCAGGGGCGAGGGTACCTGGGTTCCTTTACAGCCTTCACTTCCTTTGTGTCTGGGATGACCTGAGAGGGGCCCTGAGCACAGTGAAGCTGTGGGCAGAGGCTCTGTGCTCACTGGGGTGCCTCTGTCCCACCCTAGGCTGGCAGAAGGGCATGGACGTGCCCACGGACATCGCCATCGCCTACCTGATGCAGTGCAGCTTCTACGGGCACTCCATCTACGCCACGGCCTACATGGACACGTGGCGCAAGGACTCGGTGGTGATGCTCCTCCACCACGTGGTCGCACTGACCCTCATCGCCTGCTCCTACGCCTTCAGGTGAGCTCCTGGCTGTGGCTGCTGGTGCTCACCTGCATCCCATGGGCTCTGCCCTCCCTCCTTACCCTGCCTGCATGTCCCACAGCGCTTGGAGCCCTTGCACGATGCAGCACAGTGCCGTGCTGTGCCCTTTAGGGACTCCATCTTCTCCCAGAGTACTGGGCCGTGGGTGCTGGGTGCTAACATGAACCCATTGCCCCGTGCATCTCCCCGCTCTTTGTTTCCTGCAGGTACCACAACGTGGGCATCCTCGTGCTCTTCCTGCATGACGTCAATGATATCCAGCTGGAGTTCACCAAGCTCAATGTCTACTTCAAGCACCGGGGGGGTGTCTACCATCGCCTCAATGATGTCCTCTCCAACATCGGCTGCCTCACCTTCACCATCAGCTGGTGAGTTCGGCTCATCCCGCTCCCCCCTCTCCTCACCAGCTTTTGCAGTCCCCCCGGGGTACAGGGCTGGCTTTGTGTGCATGGGAACCAGCCCTTCCAAGAAGAGGTTCCCGCAGAGCCTGACCCCATGCTGGGCTTGGAATCCTTCTGTAGTCTCTTTGCCGTCTGTCACCACCGAAGTGCCTGTGAAATCTGGCTTGCAGCGTGACAAATGACCCCAGGGGAGCAGGAGCTGTTGCCGTTTTCCCACTGCCTTGGTGTGAGCAGTAAGAAACCCTTCTGCAAGGGGGACACAGGACTTGGGGCTGTCCCAGGTTCCAGCCTTGCTGTTCCTCCTGGGGCAAGGCAGGAGGGAAGAAAGGGTGAGGAACAGAGAGGGGTAATGTGCAGGTTGTGTCCTCCTTCGTCTCCTTCCTCCCTCTTTGAGGGGTGGCAGGAAGAGCCCTCACTGAGGCAAGGAGAGCAGCAGAGCTTTGCAGTGATTCACTAGGGATGCAAAGGGATAAGAAAGCCTTCATGCTCCAGTTGGGGTGATTTGTGCTGTGGAGCTGCCTCTGCCCTGGGAATGCTCTGGTGCCAGAGCTTCTCTGCACATAGAAATTGCATTGTCCTTCCACAGGGTCTCTGTGAAGCCCTGCCTGGAGCCAGGCCTGGAAACCCAAGGCCCCGAGCAGGGACTGTGGGTGCAAGGGGAGTGGGTGAGGGCTGCCTGCAGGCAGGAGGTTGTGCTGGGGACACTGTGCTGGCTCCCTCCCCTCCCTTGGGGTCCCTGTGGGATGTTGAACCCACCCTGCTCCCTCTGCCCTGGCAGGTTCTGGTTCCGTCTCTACTGGTTCCCCCTCAAGGTGCTCTACGCCACTTGCTACTCCAGCCTCCAGTTGGTCCCTAATATCCCCTTCTACTTCTTCTTCAATGCTCTGCTCCTTGTGCTCACTCTGATGAACATCTACTGGTTTCTGGTGAGTGGGGGGAACTCAGCAGCCCCTGCACTGGCTTCTCCCTCCTCTGCTGCTCCTGCATGGCTCCTGCTGCCTGTCCTGGGAGCAGCCCAGGGGACTGCAGGGGGGGAGGAGGGAAGCTCAGGTCAGTGCCTGGGGGGCTTCTCCGTGGTGGAATTCATGGGGAGGGGGTGATAAGGGCAGTTATCAGTGCTAGGCTGGGGCTTGATGTGGGTGTAAATGCTCTGAAGCCTGGGGGGGTGGTGGTGGTGGTGCAGAAAGGGTGGACTTGAAGGTCTGGTGTTATCCAGCACAAGCCTGGGCACAGCAGGGTACATCCCAGTTCAGCATCCTGTGGGAATGGAACGGGTTAAGGGCAACTGCAGGAGCGCTGCTTCCTGCTGCATCCCAGAGGGGTCTGCCTGGCCCTTCCTGGGCTTAAGGAGAGCAGAGCAAGGTCCCACTTAGCAAATGGGAGTGAGCAGGTTGGGAGGAAGAGCTCTAAGCCTTGGTGTCTGTGGCTGACGGTGTCTCTCCCCCCCAGTACATCGTCCTGTTTGTGGCCAAGGTGCTGATGGGGCAGATGCAAGAGGTGAACGATGTGCGGGAGTACGACGTGGAGGACAGCAAGAAAGCCCCAGCGGCCAAGAAGAGGGAGGCTGGGCTCCAACTGCCCAATGCTCTGAAAGAGGGGTATGTGGACAGCATCTGTGGGCTGGGGACGGGATGCTGGCAGAGACCCAGGACCCTGGACCGCTGTCAGGGGCATCACTGCTGGGCATGAGGACAAGATCCCTTGACACAGAGTGTAGGACACTGCTGCAGGTGTCAGGAAGGGCTCTGTATCTCCAGGGCAGGCACTGTGGGGTGTCTGTCCAGCTTTCTGTCCCATGGGTGCTCACCCAGCCCTTCCCCTGCTCGCTGTGTAGGGCTGGCTCTGTGCTTGAGGCTGCCGTCTTGGAGCAGCATCTCTGCTTCATGTGGTGGGCAGAGCCTGGCAGGGCAGGTCTGGCCCCAGCAGTGATGGGAGCAGGCAGGGGGATCAGGTCGGTGCTCAGCAGTGATGGGGGCAGGCAGGGGGATCAGCTCTGGCCTCAGCAATGATGGGGGCAGGCAGGGGCATCAGGTCTGGCCTCAGCAATGATGGGGGCAGGCAGGGGCATCAGGTCTGGCCTCAGCAGTGATGGGGGCAGGCAGGGGGATCAGCTCTGCCCTCAGCAGTGATGGGGGCAGGCAGGGGGATCAGCTCTGCCCTCAGCAGTGATGGGGGCAGGCAGGGGGATCAGGTCTGGCCTCAGCAGTGATGGGGGCAGGCAGGGGGATCAGGTCAGTGCTCAGCAGTGATGGGGGCAGGCAGGGGGATCAGCTCTGCCCTCAGCAGTGATGGGGGCAGGCAGGGGGATCAGCTCTGCCCTCAGCAGTGATGGGGGCAGGCAGGGGGATCAGGTCGGTGCTCAGCAGTGATGGGGGCAGGCAGGGGGATCAGGTCTGGTCTCAGCAGTGATGGGGGCAGGCAGGGGGATCAGGTCGGTGCTCAGCAGTGATGGGGGCAGGCAGGGGGATCAGGTCGGTGCTCAGCAGTGATGGGGGCAGGCAGGGGGATCAGGTTGGTCTCAGCAGTGATGGGGGCAGGCAGGGGGATCAGGTCGGTGCTCAGCAGTGATGGGGGCAGGCAGGGGGATCAGGTCTGGCCTCAGCAGTGATGGGGGCAGGCAGGGGGATCAGCTCTGCCCTCAGCAGTGATGGGAGCAGGCAGGGGGATCAGGTCAGTGCTCAGCAGTGATGGGGGCAGGCAGGGGGATCAGGTTGGTGCTCAGCAGTGATGGGGGCAGGCAGGGGGATCAGGTCGGTGCTCAGCAGTGATGGGGGCAGGCAGGGGGATCAGCTCTGCCCTCAGCAGTGATGTTTGGTAGGAAGGGGGATCAGGTCTGGCCCCAGCAGTGATGGGGGCAGGCAGGGGGATCAGGTCGGTGCTCACAGCCCCTCTGCTCCCCCGCAGGATGCACCTCAAGAATGGACTCGTGAAGGACAAGCGGTTGTGAGGGACCCGGAGCGGCCGGAGCTGGGGCTGAGCCAGGCCTCGATCCCAGCACAAGGACAGCTTCATCCCTGCCACCCTTCACCCCCTGCCCGGAGCCGGGGAAGAGGCGCCACTGACAGGATCAGGCCCCTCCTGGGGCTTGGCTGTGCCCAGGCTTCACCTGATGCTTGTGTGCTTTCTGTCGCCAGCCCGTGCTGGTTCAGCTGAGGCTGGTGCTGTGCTGGTCCAGGTAGGATTTGGAGCTGGCTTTAGGTCCCCTGGTGTTTCTTCTGTCGCTCCATCCCTCGGCTGTTCTCAGTCCCTTTGTGATCTTCCCTGGCTGCACTGTTGGACCCTCCCACCAGACCTTCCTCAGCAGCTCCTCTGCCCCAGCATCAGCTGCGGATGGGAACGTCCTCTCCTGCATGGGCAGCAGCTGGGGATGGGAACGTCCTCTCCTGCAAGGGCAGCAGCGTCCCAGGCCAGGGAGCCTGAAGCCAGCTCTTCTCTAGCTGCTGAGCAGGGACTAGAGGTGATGTGGGGCACCTCGGAGCCTTCCTCCTCAGGGGGGTCCCTAATGCAGAGCTGCCCGGGGGCACAGCAGAGCTTCCATGAGCCAGGCTGCCTGGAAACCCAGCCCTGGAGCGTCAGTGCAGCCTCCTGGCCTGTCGGATGGGGGCCAGGAGCTTGAGTTTGTGTATAAAGCCAATGGAGGTCTTAGAGCTGCTCAAAAAGCCAGTCCCAGCCCTGCAGGGTCCCCTGCTGAGGGCTCTGCAGGCCCTCACCCAGCACCATCTGCTTGTTCGAGTAGAGAGCAAACGGTTCCTGCTCCTCCTGTTGGTTTTCCAGGCAGGGCTGGCCTGAGGCTGTCTCTGTGCAGGGCCAGGGCTGCTCCTGTGTCTGTGCTGGGATGTGCAGCTCCCTCCCAGCACGAGGGGGGCATTCAGGGCGTTAACCCCAGTTCCTTGTGGTTTTATCCCGTGTTTGGGCTCTGCACTGAGTCAGCTCCAGGCTCGTGTGAGCCCTGGGGAGAGCTCCTTGGGAAACAGAGAGCAAGAGGTGACTTGTGCTGATGGAGCCTGGCCCAGGCTCTGGGATCCGGCCCCTCCTCACCCGCCACCGGCTCTGCTTTAGTTCCTTGGCTTTCAAGTGGGGTTTGCAGGAAGGAGATGAAGGGAACGGAGGTCCCAGGTGATGCCTTGTCTCCTGTGTGCAGAAACGGGACTTCATAGCACCGGCTTCGCCATTCAGCTGCTAACTCCATCTGTGTGTGTGCGACAGCAGGCTTGCTGCCTGCAGCCCTGCTGGCACCGAGAGAGAGGGGCAGGGACCCGGCTGGATGTGGGTGCTGAACGGGGGTGCTGATGGCTTCTTGTGCCGCCCTGGGGCTGTGCTTGTGGGCAGGGAGCTGAAGGAAGAGTTGGAGGGTGCTGGTGGCCTTAAGAGAGAGGAGTTGGATGCTGTGATTGAGGAGGAGACCGCGTCTGGATGTGGGTGGGATGTGCGGGGAAGAGCAGCCCCTTCCCTGTCATCACGGACTTGTGTGGGACCCGGCTGGTGTGGAGATAAAGGAGACTGCAGGAGCCCTGCGGGAGGAGCAGCTTCAAAGGGTTAAGGGATGCTCCCACCCTCTGCCAATCCCGGGAATCCCTCGTGCTAATGGAGCACTCACCAGATCAAAGGCTTCAATCGGGCCATCGACACCCGCTGCGTCCCGGTCCCCAGCCCCAGCTGCTCTTTGTCTGCAGGCAGGAGCGCAGCAATGCGGCTGCTGCCCAGCCTCGGGGCCGGCCTGGCCTGGGCGCTCCTCGGCGCGGCGCTGGGCTCCCAGTTGAGGATGCAGGAAAGTTTGCTGTTAAAATCGCTGGGTTTGAGCAGCAAACCCAGCCCCAGAACCCACGCGCCTGTGCCCTCGGTGCTGTGGCGCATCTTCCAGAGCAGGAGAACGCTGCCTTCCACCAGCAACGACCTGGGAGCTGCCTGTAGGGTGGAGGAGTTCAATGTCCCCGGCAACATCATCCGTGTCTTCGCTGACCAAGGTACAGAAACGCCCTGGTTCGGGTCCTGCCTTTTGGAAGCTCTTCTCTGGGATGAGGTCTTGGCTCCATCCTTCCTTGTGTCTCTTGGGTGCACGTAGGAGAGGCTGGGGAGGACAGGGCAGTGCAGTGTCAGCTCTGGGCCCTCTGCATGCTGCAGGTGATGATTTACAGCTGGAAATGGTCCATGGGTGAGGCTGTGGAGCTGTGCGAGGCTCTGTCCTGGAGCCACCTCCAGCAGCCCAATGGTGCTGGTTTCATCCCAGCTGACCTGGCCCATGGGGCTCATGGTGGTGACGCGGCTCCTCCATGCACTGCGGTGTGGGTGCAGCAGCACCCAGCATGGGGCAGGGACAGGTTGTGACCATTTGGCTCAGTCCCTCCTCCTGTTTGCCCTCCTGAGGCCCCTCTGAGCTGTTTCCCCTTACCCAGTTGTCCTCTGGGTCTCTCCTCTTGTGCTTCCAAGTTCCCAGTGAAAAGCTTGGGCTGGCTGAACCAGGCAGGTTCCCAGCTCCTGACGTTTGCTCTCCTGTCCCCTCCATCCCCAAACACCCTCGCTGGCCTGGGGAAGAGTTAGAGATGGGGACCAACGTGCACCAAGATGTTAAGTAGCATCCAGAGGAGGTGCTGGAATGGCTCTGTAGCATCCTGGTGCTGCAGCCCAGGCCAGCGTTGGTGCCTCCAGCCCTTTCCGAAGGCCGTGCCATGGGGCTGCCAGCCCTTCCTGCACCTTCAGCACCTCCAGCCAATGCGTTTGGCTGCCCACTCCTGTCAGCCCCATCTTCCCCTTGCTGTGCAGCCAAGAGCTCGAACTGGAGCTGCTGCTGCTCAGTGGAGCAGGATTGAACCCCCCCCATCTCTTTCTCCTTTGTCAGGCCACTTCATTCACCACGGGCAGCCCCCGGGGCTGCTGTGCCTGCAGAAGCGCCTGTACTTTAACCTCTCCGTGCTGGAGGAGGGCGAGCGCTTGACCATGGCTCAGCTGGAGATCAAATTCAGCCACAACTCCTACCCCAGCCCCAGGCAGGGGCAGGGCTTGGACCTGAGGCTCTACCGCAGCTCCCAGCTGCCTCTGCGGGGGACACCGGCCCCCGAGCAGGGCCAGAAGCTGCTGGTGGAGCGTTCCTTTGAGCAGCTCCACAAGTCCCTGGTGTTTGACCTGAGCGGGGTGGCGAGGGACTGGAGAACGCACAGCAGGAACCTGGGCTTGATCCTGGAGATCGCGGGGAGCGGTGGCGATGGTGCCGCGGCCCTGGGGAGCGGCGGCTGCACCAGCATCAACTCCTTCCTGGACACGTCCCTGCTGGTGGTGACCCTCAGCCAGGAGCAGTGCAGAGCTTCCAGGAGGAGGAGGAGCGCTCAGCACCCCCCAGTCACCCCTAGCAGCCTCTGCAAGCCCCGGCGGCTCTACATCAGCTTCAGCGACGTCGGCTGGGAGAACTGGATCATCGCCCCCCAGGGCTACCTGGCCAACTACTGCCTGGGCGAGTGCCCCTTCCCGCTGAGCGCCGAGCTCAACAGCACCAACCACGCCATCCTGCAGACCATGGTGCACTCGCTGGACCCCGAGGGCACCCCCCAGCCCTGCTGCGTCCCCGTCAGGCTCTCCCCCATCTCCATCCTCTACTATGATAACAGCGACAACGTGGTGCTGAGGCACTATGAGGACATGGTGGTGGATGAGTGCGGCTGCAGATAGCGGCGTGTGTGCTGCAGGCCCAGCTGGAGCCGTGGATGGGTGCTGGAATAAATCCAAGAGTGTTAAATCCCCCCCTGTGCTGGTATTGAGGGAGTTTCCCATTGATGCAGCCCCTTCCTTCCGTTGATGCAACCTCCCATTGGAGGTGCCCTTCTCCACGTGCAGTTTGGGGGGGTTCTGGCACTAAGGGGTAGGAGCTGGTGCAGCTCCACCGCACCTCCTGCGGGGTTATGATCGGCTCTGGTGCTGGTTCCATACCCTGCTCTGCACGGGTGATGGCAGCATCAGGCTGGGAATCCCAGACCCCTCGTGCTTGGGCTGAGCTGCTGCTGGTGGCAGCGAGGAGCCTGCAGCTGCAGGGCTGCTGCTTGCTGGCTTTTGGGCTGAATGCTGTAGATGTGTGCGAACAGAAACGACTGGTTTTAGTGAACTGCTGCTGGTGCTGCAGCAGCTCCAGCCCTGCTGCAGGAAGAGGGAATGTTGTCACTGCAGGAGCTGCAGCTCCGGGTGACTGAATCCCTTCCTGCAGGGCAGAGCCTGGAGTGGGGAGCGCTGGGTTCTCTTGCTGGGGTGGGCCATGGGGAGCCCCAGGCTTGGCTGAGGATGGGGTTGAAGCAGTGGGAGGTGATGCTCTGGTGCAGAGCCGAGGTGTGGGGGGGAGTTGCTCCCTCGCAGCCTGCTGGGAGGCCGGGTTTAACTCACGTTGTGTGAAGAGTGATGAGACCTGGGGGGGGGCTGGAGCCTGAGAGCAGCCGAGCATCAGCCCAGGACAGCCCTGCTCTGTCATGCTCCATTGTAGGTTGGTTGTGGTTCAGTTTTCATTTGGTGCCTGGGGGGAACAGAAGCAGAATCCGCGTTAGACTTGAATTCGTTGTCTTCAGCTGTGAACCTGAGCCCAGAGGCCAGCTCCTGGCTGGTTTGTTCGTGTGTTGCCTCCCTGCTCTGCTGCAGTATTCCCTTCCCCGCGGGGAGGCACTACAGGTTTAACCACTGTCGGGCTGCTGAGGAAGGGGAGTGCGAGCGGGTTTCTGTCACCACACTGGCATGAGGAGCAGAAGCCCAAAGCAGGAGTAGCTCCAGGACTGTAGCTGTGTAGCTTACCCATGTTTTCATGCCCTGCTGGTTCTGGAGTAGCAGAAAGGACCGGAGCTCCACTCTGCTTTACTCCAGTGGATGAACAAGAGTAAATGGCTGAAGCCCATTTCAAGCACTCAGATGGTTTAAGGGCTTAGAGTAGGCCTTGATCGAGGCAAAGGCAAGCAGGAGCCCTTTCTTTCACGTTTAGGATGGGCAGGATTAAGAAAACCTGTTAGTAAGTATTGTACCTGTGCTGGGGCAGGCTCGGCCTGAAGGCCTCACTTACTTAACACAATAATGCCACCTCCTTACCTGGTTCTGCAGCCTGATGGATGGCAACTGTCTGGCTCCATCCCAGCCATAAGGAGGTGGGTTACAGTAACCAGACATGGAGATGGCCTGGAGTAGCTGCACTGAGCTCACCCACAGGGCAAAGCCCAAACACTGAAGCTGCTC